ACTCTTAAAATTTAAGTTATTGTCAATTACAACCCCTAAGAGTTCCACATTATCGGTCGCTTTGACTTAAAAACCATCAATATCCAGTTCTACAAGATCACTTTTTCGCTTGGGCAAAACAAGGAGTTTACATTTGTCCAAGTTTAGGGTCAGACTACAGTCATGAAACCATTTGGAGGTGACTCTTAAGTTCCGGATGAGGACAGCCTGAACCACGCTTGGAGCTATATCACTTGAAGTTAGTTGGTTGTCATCAGCATAATTAGAGAGTTTGGCCTCTGTAACAAAGTAAAATAAGTCATTTAAAAAGATATTAAAGAACAAGGGGCCTAAAACAGACCCCTGTGGATCTCCTCTGTGAATCTTGACAATGTCAGACTTGGCATTGGCCACTTTAACCCGCTGTCTCCGTCCACTAAGATAATCTTTAATTAGGTTAAGACTTTGGGTAGAAAGACCATTCGACTGCAACTGGTCATAGGGTACCACTACAGATTTGTCCGTAGAAGGCGGCGAAGGCCTCATCCCTATTATTGAAACCCAACTAGGCCATACAATTCTTGGTTTGAAATTCATTTTCGTAGGCGTAATATCCCCGAAGAATTCTCTTATCGCCAGATGAGAATGTCGCACGACACGTTTGACACTCTGTGGGCTATTCTTCCTCATGAGCTACAAAGGTTTTGGCCATCGGACTATATCGCTTAGCACATGGCGGGTCATTTGAAAATGCAGGCACTGCGATGAATGTTAATAAAGCAACTGTTCGTGAAGCATTCAGTGATGTCTGAAATACTCCGACTAAAAATAGATCAGATTTTCTTGATTGACATTTTCCTTCAAATCATGGCGTTTAAATTGATAAATCTGTCAGATTTCACGCCTGACAAAAATTTTTCCTGCCCCGAGGCAGGAAGACGGCGCCTTTGAAGTTTGGTAAGCCTTGACAAAATTTGGTAGATCTAAAAATCACCGGGCGAACTTGTCTCAAGGAACTGCTGACAGATTTTTTCGCAAAACGGCAAACAAAAATTTGCCCAGTGCGTCCGGGCCCAAAGGCTCTTCGT